CTTTGAAGAGCTGGGAAATGGAGAAAAGTACAGAGAAATCGCTGCTACAACTTGCAAGAATGCAAACGTTTCTGCGAAGCTTCGCGACACCACAAACAGATTCAAAATCGTAAATGGCAGGACGTAGCATCGAACTTGTTCACTATTGTCTTAGAAGAAGTTGTTAAGATTCTATGTTTGGAAAATCGAGGGTTGGACGCAACCCTCTTTTGATGAACAATGTTCTGATCCTATGAAGGTTGCCAGAGAAACTGCAGAAGAAGAAATGAATGCCACCAGCAATTCAGATAGACTCAAGATAAACCAGTAGAATAATCAGTCATGTTTGAAAAATGCTTGACTATACGATCTGTTGAAGTCAGCAGACTCAGACTCGAAAAAAATTAAAACTATATTTGTCTGGGCAATTCATCTCTGCATAATAAGTACCGACTATGGAAAATCAACAAAATAATAGAAATGGTGTCGTGGTTTATTGAAAACTGATTATGTTTCAATCCGGGAAACTGCCATTGTGTTTGTAACAATAATTTTGCTCAATGTGTTATGCTATGAGTGCAAAATTAGGACGAAAGCCTGACGGAGGTTCACCTAAACACATAAACTGCAGGCTGTGTAACGCAGCATAGAAAGGAATGAACGGATAGGAGCACATTCGAAAGTCTCCGATGTCATTGCATGAATGAAGAAGTTAAAGTGGAAATGGACAGACATGCTGCAAGAAAAGACATCCATCGCTGCACCAGAGAGACTTTTTACTCTGTTCCAGGGCAGGGAAGTGATCTGCAGCAAGAACTTCAGATTGTTAACATGATTAGCTGAAGAAGTTCGCTGCATGAAGGTGGATGAAAAAGCGGAAAACAGAAGTTAGCGGTGAAGTCTTGAAGAGGCCTTCAAAAAGCAGTGGACATAAAAGGCTGATGATGATGGGAGTTTGATTTCTATTTGTATGCAGTCAACCTAAAACGCCTCAAGCTTCTGAAGACGCATGCTTTAATTCTCTTCATCTTCATCTTCCATCGCCGCTTCTCCTTTTGGGTCGCGGAGGCAGACACGTCAGACAGAGCTCCAAACGTTCCTGGTTCTGTGCCAGAGTCTGAGCTTCGGCAAACGACAAATGCAGTCTGGAACAGATTCCTTCCACATGTTTGCACCAGGTTAATCTTGGCGTCCCCTGGACCTTCTGCCGGTCGGATTTTCACGGAAAAGTTGCTTAGCCTGCCTTTCTGGAGGCATTCGCAACACATGCCCAAGCCATCGCACCTGTGACTTGTCAATTTGGAGAAGCAAAGGCTGTATTCGAAGGCTCTTCCGGATGTCACTATTGCGGACCATGTCGAGGCGCTTTAATTCTCGTTTGTTGAAATTATCATGAGAGCTGCTGGCACTGGCAGATCGTCCCTGGTTCACCTAAATCCACAGTTTTCAACACTTTTGCTATGAGGCAATATTACCTTCAGAAAGCATATTTGCCTCTGTTGATTTTGCCGCATTGCATGCTGACCTTCCGGCAGACATCTGCCGTATATCGGCTACCGCACGGAAGCTCGCAGACTGTAGTGCATGGTATCTGCTCAACCAGTTTGTCTAACAGGGCTAACCTCCTTTTGATAATGTACTAATCTCCACGTCTGTTGATGGGACCTGTCACTGTCTCTAAGGGAACTGATTCATTCTTTATGTGCTTCTGCCATTTCACCCTCAACATGTGGAGGTCAACGTCACTGTACGCAGTTCAACCGTCGTTCTTGCTCTTTTGTTAGAACAGTTGTGTTCATGTGGTCAACAACACTGACGTAACCTAGGCAAGATACAGGTGGAGTTCTGTGTCAATAGTATCCCCTTTCTCAGGCAATCTATTTGATTGGTTTATACAACCATCAGAGGCAAGAGAAATCCTAATAATTTACTCTGGCTGGAGAGTGCCATCGCTAATGATGATGCAGCCGGGACACTCAAATCGGTGAACATCTTCAAACGCTTCACCTACTTGTTCATTTTGCGTGTCAGCTCGTTAGGCTCTCCAACTTTTGACTTCCTGACGTTGGCTAAGAAGAGGCTGGCTTTCACAGTTGTAGTGCATACGGAATCAGTCAAGTGACAGAGTTCGTTTCAGTATTACCAACGAGGGCAAAATTATTTGTTTACTCCAAGTCTCCATGGTGTGCAGCCAGATATCTTTCGTCTAGAATAAGACCTTCGTCGATGCCAGGGTCTACACTGTTTCGGAGAAGAAAGTCGAGAGCAAAAAAGAATTGCAAAGGTTAAGGCAAATCTCCACTTAAATAGCAATCCTTCAACGAACATGGTTCCTGCACACATCTCTTCCGTCATGTAAACCATGTACCTTAGTATTCCATAACATTTAAAGGGTTTTACGATTTTGCATATACAGCTAGGTTGCTATTATTGCGCTTGGTTTTTCCATTGCTTCTAACCTGTGACAATAGTTCGCGTACCTGATATGTAATGAAAAGCGAATAATTCAGCAGCGTTGTTTTGATTTGATTGAAACTATCCTATGCATTCCTTCTGCTGATCTCTCTATTAACGTTGTTGATTGAGTCTATTGGCTATTGGGTGGTTGAGGTAGCTACCGCCGGTTTTACTCATTCGCCGTCAATGAAGATGGTACTCACGGGGCAGTGTTCGCCGTGCATCCATTTCATCTTAAAGATGTTCACCTCAAGACCGATGCCTCGTGACTCCCTCTGCAGTTGCAAATCTTTGTTTCGAGTTCCGCTGAGTCTTTGACAAAGACAATGAGGTCGTCTGCAAAGAAAAGCACGTAGGCAAGCCGTTCTCTGTCAGTGTGAGTGTAGCCGCCCTAATTCAGACGGTTAAAGTGGGATTAGGAGAAAGGATATCGTAAACAGATTAAAAGAGATGGCGCTTCCTTTGCACACTCATCATCTGTTGTTCATTGGACGTGGCTCTTCGAACAGTTTGATATCGGTTGCCGAGTTAGTCTTTCGTTCTTCAATCTGGTCGACGTAGAGAGGGTTGATACAGCAGTCGGGAAAGGCGTTCGGTGCAGCATTTGGCTCGATGGAATAGAATGCTCTTCTGAAGTAGATGAATGTGTGGCAGAAAGAGAATTGGCATTCTTTCCACTGCTTTGCTAACTGAGTCACGAGTTGAGGTGATCTATGGTGGCAAGTCTGTTTGGAAATCGGCCTGTTATTTACTGGCGCGAAACTCCAGGCCTTTCGGGATACAGCTCAAGATGATTCAGGTAAAGACCACAGAATGGAGAATGATGGTCAATAGTTCTTGATGTCTTCAGCAATAGATTTTAAAAGAAGAATCATCGAAGAGCTCTTCTATTATTCTGACGCATTCTACTGGAACCGCATTCGCTCCAAACCAACCGATAAAACATTGTGTCGCGATTGTCTCCTTTCCCATTATTTTATTTAAATCTTCTTGCACGATTGTGTACGTCGCGCTTTAGAGTTTCTCTTGGAATTGCTGTTGTGTTGGACTCATAACTTCGATTATTGTAAGTGGTGTCCTCTTGTGCACCCGCAAAATTAGTAAGGCTACATTAGGTGCAGCTGATTACGAGAGGTGCAGCCCTCATCTTTGCGACGAATCATCACTGCCTGTCTAAGCCCTGAATTTGCCACTTTCCGTAGCAACATTTGATCACCATTTTTCTATTGAGCAATACGTTCAAACATTCCGGGGACATCTGCCCTGCGCATCTTCGCCTCAGTGACATATATGTCGATCAGTGAGTCTAACAACAGACTTTTTGAATCTTGGTTAGCCATAAGGATCTTGGCGAAATCCTTATGTCATCTGCCAGTCGCATCCTAACTATCACTGCACTTTCAGACTCGGTATTCTTCCGTGCGCCACTTACTTTAGGCGATTTTTGTAGGCAGTTCATCGAGGGTGCCACCTTTCACACTCTGATTATGTAATCGAGATCCAAAAAGTAAGTGCTTGGTGGGCTCTTGATCGCTGTAGGGTTCAGAGGTAGGAAGCAGTGTAGAACCTCAGCCACACCGTACCACACCTCGAGTTCATTAACCTTCCCACATAACAAACATTTCATTGCTTTACTCTGATCTTGTGGTAGTCCAAGACGTATGGAAGTGATTACAACAGATTATGCCACAACACTGCACGAACTCTTTGCCCATAACAGCCTACGTTAACCATTTAACCAAACAACAGCGCAATGGTATTGAAGTGCTTGAGGTGCATAGAACTTACGCACCTCATCACTAAGTCTGATGTTGTGGCGGTCAACAAATATACAAAAATGCTGTAACCCGATTTTCCGGGTGGCCAGGACATTCTAACTTTGTGATTCTGTTGGTAATAATTGGTAATATTTTCACTGATTAACATTTGCCCTCTCATGCATTACAGGGAAGATTATTTTCATGATGATTTCAGGGCGACATTCTCTTCAATTTTGCTTAACCATTTGCATTATGAAATTATAACCACTTATTTTAGGATCATTCATGAATCTGGATTTACCGCTGAAGACTACAAACAGTACAAGCCCGTTGTGTACAGTAATACTATTCAGTCGATGGTGGCGATTCTTCGGGCAATGAGCACCTTAAATATTACGTTTGAAAGTCCTGATCGAGAGGTAAGAAATTCATAAATTGAAAATTTTTTATTAAAGCTAAAAATCTGCGTCACTATTAAAATTTGCTGAACGTAATTGCATGTCAATTTAAACAGTCTTCGGTACCTTGGCAGAAGAAAAAAAATGTCAACAATGTTTCCCCTTCCTTTTGGATCCAGAATTAAAGGTTCAAATATCACTTCTCATTAGGACAGTAAAATTTGTCTGGTGTTTGCCTGTTCATGAAAAGAAATAAAACTTTCTCTTTTCATGCCCAATTGAAATGGCGTGGCATTTCTCATAGCTGCGGAATCATTGGAAACTGGTTTCATGCTAGTAAACTGGTAATATAGGGTTTGTGTTCATGCATAAAATGTTTATTTGAATGATCTAAAAAATTAATTCTAGAAAACATAAGGTCAAATGCTAATTATTTGTTAAAGAAACATTTTTAATAAACATTTTCTGAGTATTTTGTGATTCGGTTCCCGATGATTGGATGAATGACCGCATCACTTTCATTTCACATGGAATGTGGAATTAAAGTTAAAGTGAAGGTGATGCCTCGGATTGTGCAACCATAATCAACTAAGCAGTACAGTGGGTGCTTTTCATTCAATTTCTTGATCTCAAGGTGCAAGGTTTCAAAATCATCTGGAACAAAACTGAATAAACATTTTGTGCATGTTCGCGACTGATGCCTCATTACAAATGAATGCTCATTTTGAGCTTTACCGTTACTGCTACAACAGACTAACTAAGAGCCGATCAATTTTCGATAGCAGAAAAATATACAGCCCATTTAGCATATGAAGCATCACAAATGGGTTAGATCGATAAACCTATTTTCAGACTTTGGGCTATGTACCTCACTGACCTTCTCTGTTGAGCAATTTTCGGTAGTTGTAATGTAGTATCGTTTGTATAAGCCGTTTAATTATAAGAATTTAGAGATATGAAGCGAATTGTTGACAAGTACTTGAACCCTGATCAACCTGTTTTATAATTCAAAAATCTTCAATTTTTTGCAAGAGGGCCATAAATACAACTTTATATAAAATAGATTTATGAATTGATTATTAGAGAATGCTCGGTTTCACTTCTCATGGATGAATCCAATATAACATTACGATGTTTATTAGCTTGTTCTCATATTTTGTGCGATTACGAAACGTGATGCGATATTGCTGTTGTACTTTGATTCAGTGACCAGTTGACAGTGTTAATTGATAAACAGTTAGTCCCATGTCATTTACATATACTGAACCCTATATTAAACTGACTGCTTGGCAAGAATCTAGTTTGGATTATATGTACGGAAGTGTCCATATATTCATCTGTTCATCTTCAAAGCTCGCTGTTCCTTTAAGTCGTTTAGCAGTAGCTTAAGAAGGTTCTTCTAATAATCTTAGTTTTCTGTCAGTTGATTGAAATCCCCAGTAGCGTCACTTGTTCGGTATACTCCAGATTGAGTCATCTAATCCTCAGTTTCTCTTTGGCAATCTTCTGTGACTTTTTCCAGAGATCATGCCTTGAGAATTTCCACTGCGACATCCGATCATCTTTCAAAACCATATCTATTCTGATTCTCCAAGCTGAAAAGAAATGACTCACGAATGAAGGTTTCTCAGACTGGTATTGTTCCAACGGTTTTTGGCCCCTATCACACCAGCAGTCCCTCGAAGAAATTTAATTTTTGCTATTTGTACTCAGAATCAGCTGTTTTGATCAAAATCAGCGGTTATGAATATAGATAAGAGTAGGTGCCAATACACCTGTAAAGATAGATAGCCTGACTTTTCTACATTTCACTACAGACCTCTTTAGCTCATTATTGCATTTCAACTCATCACTGTACTAATTAGAACTAACTGCGTCCTTTCAAAGCTCGAATTTCAAATCCATATGTTACAGATCAGCCAGGCTGATATCATTTGTTATTTCTGATGAAACGAGGGCTCAGTCAGTCAATGATCGGTGGGTTAAAACAGAGAATACATTCTGAGAAGCTCAACTTTCGAAATTCAGTTATGAGTCAACAGATGACTTTACTCGAAGAAATCATTTTCTCAGTGCAGACTAGATGTTTTTACACAAATCGATTTAACCGCCTGTTTCTCCACTTTCCATTCATTTGATCCACTTTAGTACAGACACTGCGGTCTCTGCAAACCCTCAAAAAATGAATTTAACAAAATACCCTATTCCTGCACTGATTTCTATTCAAGCCAGACACAGAGGTTGTCCACTATGTTGAGGCATCGCTCATTCAGTCTCCTGAGAAACTCTTTGGTCAGACCAGCTCATGACAGTTTTTATCTACTTTTAACCGATATCTTCCTTGATTCCTAGGCCGACGATACCCCTCTGTCTGACAGGGATTCTTCATGAACTATTTATGCACAGAATAACAATGATCATATTTTTGGTACCTTTCAAGACGGAGATTAACCTTAAATGAACAAAAACCGAATTTAGATTTATATGATGAACCTTTAAGATAAACTTATAACTGAAAATGAAACCTAATAATTTTTCCTCAGATTTGTTTGTTCGAAAAATTCTTATTTTTCTAAAGAGAGCTTATGAAATTGGCGTATTTTTGCACGCCGCATCCTCGCATAGACATCATTTCTGGTAAACTGAAAAATATTGCCATAATTTAAAGGCCTTTTAAAGAAATGTATATTTTGCACAGCATAAGTACTCGGCGTTTGGGCTGAGTGAACGCACTGATCGATTTCGATTATTAGTTTACCGCCCACCTTCCCATTTTAGAGAACTTCTCTAATGAGCAAATGACTTTGTGCAGTTGTGGTCTGAATAATCGACCTGATTTTTTTTCTCCAAACGCTCACTGTCAATCATAATGGCAAGGACACCGGCATAATGTTACCTACAAATCAAAATTCTGAAATACAACTGCGAAGTTGTGACATTCGGGCTGTCGCTGTTATACGCTTCACGTGATCAATTTAAAGTATCAGCTGATCGATAAACGAACTTAGTTTTAAGCTCAACATGTAAAATGGAATTCTGCAATTTGAAGCTCTTATATTCGTCGCAGTAGTTGCTATTTATGAAAATTTGTGGAAACTGAAAGTTTTGAGAAGAGTGGAGGATCAATGAGAGCGATGTTACATTAAAGTGCAACGTCAATAGTCTAGCCGAATCAGGTGAACAAATCTGACAATCGTTATGTTGGCGAGGTGGTAAGAGTGGCCTGCGATGCCGGCAAATGCTGACCATTTTTAATCTGCAGGCATCTGCATTTCAGTGTCAGGAACGATGGCGATGCTTCATTCTAGCCGTGCAGAAAGATTAGTTTGAGTTGAAGACCCCGCATTCCTTGCTTCTTCTCGAACATATCAATACTAGTCTGTTGTTAAACGTTGTTCGCTCGAAACTTCGACAACCCACGCCACTCGGCTGCACAAGCAATATGCTTTTTGTCGTTAAGTTGTCACCGGCGGAACACGATGAACGAGGTTCGAATTCGGCACAACACACGCGAATCAATAAAGTCAATTTTGATCGTCGACGAGGAGAGACGCTGATGGAATTGCTTGGCAGAGAACATGAGGTGCAATTCTATTGAACGCGGTTGAAGCTGGGAGCGGACTTTGCCTCTTTGCACAACGCTCTGCTATTGATCGCTCGGGTTCGATGGTGAACCCATATTCAGCCATAAGGGAACTAACTGATCTGGTGGTTGATCTTAGAATTTTAGTTGCGTTTACCTGATCACTTCTTCATTTCTCGGATGTTCAAAATCTTGATTCCTTTCATAATGGCGCCATAAATTATAATTTCTCGAATTCCTCTCGATATTTGAACAAAGAGCAACATTTGTCAAGTCTTTTCACAGCAGCCGCTACGTTGCATTGACACTGAGACATACAACAACATACCCGATTCACAAAGTAACTCGTACGATGTTTCGGCCAATATTCTTAGCATTAAAGATTTTCAAAGGCCTGTATAACTACTGCTTCCTGTACGACCAAAGCAGATTACAAAGACACATCAGCTGTCGGTGTCTGAACCTCGATGCATGCGTTTTATGCTGGAACCTCGGTTATGCTCTTAGGAGAAACATCTGACCATGGTGCGCTAAAAATAGAAAATACAACTGTTATGCTCCGTTCAGAGGGCTTTCTACAGCTACAAATTTTTGATCACATTTTTAAACGGCATTTTCTCGAAGAGATG